GTTGAAACGCTATCTCGAGAAACTGTACTCATTACGCGGATACGAGTAATGTCACGCGATAAGCGCCTACACGTTGATTGGTCAGAATGACGGATCTAAAAAGTGTCGTGACAACTTTTCGTAAGAATTTTTTCCGTCTAGCCCCCTTTAACAACGCGCGATAAGGATTTTCGTTCCAAAAAAAAAGAGTAGTTTACGGAGCCCATTACATAAATGCCGCTACCCGCCTTGAGACATGAGTTCTAAAGCCTCAGTCTGGTACAACTGTTGCCCTATTCTTCAAATCGAAACACATTACTGCTTCAAGGCAAAAATAGACAAGGTGGTGGTATCTACTCGTGCGGATTCACAAGACGTCCTACCACCAGTAACAATTTGTGCAATAATTGCACGTACAAAGCGTGTACATCCACATCCACATATGCCCTAAATTTTATATTGCAATGGCTTAGGAATCCTTTTGTTTCTGAGACTGATTAAATTGTTTCTTTCCCCCGGGGAGCACACATTACATTCTAGCGAAATTGAATTTTATCCTTATCTTACGTAAATCCAATTGAATTTTATGCTAATAGTATACATGTGAATGTTTGTATGTTTGAAACTCAATCACGCAAAATCGGACGCGGATACAATTCCCCAAAAAAATTTATTGATAATCCGGATAAAGAGATGGCCTACTTTTGTCGTTAAGGCGCCTCACTTATAACTTGTTTTCCTATAGACATGAGGTTCGCTGGTGACATGAGGTTCGAGGACTGAATGTCATTACTGTCGTACCCAGAACAGTTTATTATTTCGTGACAGAATTTCAATTATTTCGATTCAACCAAGCAATATAACATTGCCTTAATTTGATATGACTATAGCTCACAACAATTGCATACATGAATCTACATGAAAAATTATATAAAAAACAAATCGTATAGAGCGAAATATGAATGTAAATTATGTAAATTGAAAAGAACAAAAGTTATCAGAGAGGAAAATAACAGAGCATGTATACTTTTAAAGATTTCCAATTTCAGACAAAATATCGATTGTTCCTTGTATAATTTGTTTCATGGTAAGAATTTGTGAATACATTATTAGATCAAGTCGAGAAGATCTGGAGAATGTACCTAATGTTTGTTCGTTCCAAATGTAGCGAGTCAGTGAAAACATTAATAATTTTCTACCAAAATACAACGTCTGAATATTAGGGCTTCTCTGAAATGATTGCACATTGAAAACCGCTGAGTTCGGTAGACAGCGGCTTGGCTCTGCCCCTGGCATTGCTGAAGTCCACGGGCGACGGTAACCACTCACCATCAGGTGGGCCTGCCTACAAGGGCAATAAAAAATAAAATAAGAGTTTCTCGCCGGATCTGATAGTAGACTCATTTACAAAGCAGCTGCTCTTGCGTTGTTAAGTCTCCTTTGGAGGCGCTCGGGCAGCTGTTAGCAAATCCCACCCCTCCTGGCTTAGCCCTTACTCGCCCACCGGTCCTGCTGAAACTGGAAAGGCCTCCGGGCCACCAGCAATCCCTCAGACATAAAAAAAAGATCGCACATTGTGTCTATAAGAAGAATATTTTATTAGAGTTTGAGAGAGAGAGTAGTTGCAATTATCGAAGGATCTTATAGTTTTATTTACTATTTTTAATTGACACAAGATGTGTTGTACCAACTGGAGACAACACACTGTAATTTTTAGTTGGTTTATTATTATGCCATATCTTTACTTATTTTGAAATGAAAAACATAACAATTTTGTGAATACTAGATTTTACTATACATAAAATTTTCGTAGTGGACTTTTACTTGAAATCAATTCTTAAGGAATTAACTACAAAAAAGGTGGCAAATGGCAAGATTCATTTTTGGTGTCTATTGACTGGGATATAGAAGTCTTAACATTAATATAGAACAATCAAACAGTATCAATGCATACAGAAGTCGTCGTGGCCCAAAGGATAAGACGTTCGATGCATTTGTATCTAGCAATGCAATGGTGTTCGAATCCCAGGCGAGTACCAATTTTTCTAATGAAATACGTACTTAACAAATGTTCACGATTGACTTCCACGGTGAAGGAATAACATCGTGTAATAAAAATCAAACCCACAAGATTATAAGTAATTTGCGTAATTACTAGTGGTAGGACCTCTTGTGAGTCCGCACGGATAGGTACCACCGTCCTGCCTATTTCTGTAGTGAAGCAGTAATGAGTTTCGGTTTGAAGGGTGGGGCAGCCATTGTAACTATACTGAGACCCTAGAACTTATATCTCAAGGTGGATGGCGTATTTGCGTTGTAGATATCTATAGGCTCCAGTAACCAACTTAACACCAGGTGGGCTGTGAGCTGGTCCACCAATCACAGCATTAAAAAAAAACGACTCAAAACATCTACGCAGAGAGTACAAACGTTTACAAACTACAAAATTGCAAGTGATCTTATTGACGTCAACAATGCTAGAAGCGGCTAATCAGTTACACGTTACGATTTATCATCATCATCATCATTCTTTCCTATTACCCTCTGCTGGGGTGTAGGGCTCGAATCAAATTTTTCCATTTATATAGGTCTTTGGCAGTCTGTTCTAGCTCCTCCCACGTCATGCCCAAGACTCCTAGCTCCTGCTCCACCGAGCGACGCCAAGATGTTCTGGGGCGGCCTCTCTTCCTTTTGCCAGACACTTTCCAGGTCAGTGCTTTTTTTTTTTTTTTTTTTTTTTTTTTTTTTTTTTTTGTTTTTTCTTTTTGTTTGTTTTTTT